CGAACACAATGTTCGGTTGCATATAGAGGGCGATAGAGAGAGGAAGATCACTTCTCTCTCTACTCTGTTGGTTGACTGTCACGTTTATACCTACGCTTTCAGCCTTACGCTTCTGTTGTCATGTGCTAATGTGTGTTGCATTATGTCGAATACAACTCTTTGTGGTACGTTCTCTGCTAGTTTGTGTTTTTGACTTCTTGTCTTGGCCTAATTACTCTACTCTTACCGCACCCCTATAAGTCGGAGGCTACACAGATGCAGCTGTTGTGTTGTTATATTACTGACTTGCTTGCAAGCGAGGCCGGTCCTGTTCAGATAGAAACCGTCCCGCAAGTTATGCCAAAGCAATGCAAGTACAAGTTATAATAGTAGAATTATAAACTGCAATGTAGCAGATGAACAGAGTTGGGAGATGGAGAGATATAGAGATACTATTTATGAGATGCCACTGACGGTGAGGAGTTGCGGTCATTGTTGATGATCTTTTTTATAATGTACCGTCTTTAAATTTATCAAATAAATTATGTGTATAAGATGGGGGATTAGAGAGATTGTAGGAGATATATTAGAGGCGTAGATAGAGATGGGTATAGATAGTATATATAAAGAGGGTAGATAGAGAGATAGAGAATGGATATAGAATGGCTAGATAGAGAAGATATAGAGATATATAAAGAGAGGTAGATAGAGAGATATAGAAAAAATTGCGCCCGTTGATCAGAGATATCAAAGTAGAGTACGCAGATGTCAGTCAGTTGTTACCTGGTCGCATTCGATATGTTACATGCTATATCTGTAGAGAGCGAGTGTACTCGCGAGGTCTCCCTTCCGCCTTCTATACGTTGGTCTGCATAACCAACATAGGCATTTACAAATGCTGGATTTGGCCCCTGAATATACACTAGAGTTATCACACTTAGATATATCTACACGCAGATATTGTAACTATATTCGCAAATCTTCTAAGACAACAATCGAAATACAAGTAAAGAATTATTTCATTTCGTCACATTACTGTGTAATCTTGGTCACTTGTACACAAATGCGGAACATTTTCAATTTATATCATATTAAAATGGAGCCTTTTGTTTTACATGAGCTGTAAGTAGGGGTACGAATCACCATACTGACACAAGGTGACACAACATTTATGGTTGACAACACAGAACAACGTGCTGTTGATCGCGTTGGTATGCACTCATAGTGTTGGAAGCATTTCCATTATTCAAAATAAAGATATCTCGTTGACTATGCCACATGTTGTGAGCATCAACATAACGGCTTATTTCCCTATAAGTCTAGGGCGTTAGTGTCCCTTCATGTCTATGCGTTAGATACATAATTTATAGTCTATGTATATATACATATACCCATATTAAACGCGGTAGGCCTACATTTATGAGCAAGTGGATCTCCGAACAGTGGGTCATTAATTGATTATATTTTTTTGGTGCGGTGTGTAGTAGCAGGAGCATCAAATATGTGATTCTGGTGCGTATAAGTTACTTTCGAATTGCATCTAACTATTCATGTAAAATAGTGTGGTTTATTTATTTTTTTGAAATATCAGAACCAACTAAGCCTTTATAGAGGCTTTTTTTTACAGCAGAGCAAAATGATTTGCAAACTTTTAACATTTGTACTCGTGGTTATTAAATCGCGCCAATTCACCAAGGCATCATACCGATAATCTACATATTTCTGTATAAACTTAATAGTGTTACTACATATACTCGATTTTACATTGCAATGAAAGACGTCTGCCAACACGTGCAACAATAATGGTTGCACGTGTTGACAGACGTGTTTAATTGCAATGTAAAATTCTAATTATTAGATCATAGATCTACCAAGTATTGATAATATCTTCTGGGTTATCGCATCTCCGATCCTACATGGGCTTCCTCGGTTAACACGCTTAGTGTCGCCTACGTTGGTCTAGCGTGTGCCCTGACAAATTCTATGAGACTCGGAGGCAGCCTGTTCTCGTATGCAACGCTGTGTCTGACGATAAAGCGTGCGCAGTGGCACTTCAGCGAATGATACTGCGCGCTCATTCTGCCATGTATCTCGTCGCTCGACTCCACGTTGCCGCGGAAACGCGTCGGGTAAATCCGGCGCCAGAGTTCGTACGGCGTCTCTCCAAAATAGTTCACCACGTCGACGTGTGCACCGTGGTTGAACAGCAGCGCGTGCACTATCTGCACGCACCCCTCCCTCTGTCCCCGTGGCCGGCGGGAACGCGCGGGTCCTGTCGCCGGCTTGCTCTGGCCAGCTGGACATCATGCGCCTGCTACTGGAGGCCGGCGCCGACACCAACGCCGCCAAGACGAAGAGCGGAGAGACGCCGCTGATGATGGCGGTGTTGACCCGCGAGGAGGCGGCGGTGCGGATGCTGCTCTCACACGGCGCCGACGCCAACGCCGCGGACTCGTACAGACAGACCACCCTGTACCACGCGGCTTGCTATGGCAAGCTGGACATCATGCGCCTGCTACTGGAGGCCGGCGCGGATCCAAACGCCGCGGTCTCGTACGGAGGGACCTCCTTGTACCAAGCGGCTTGCTCTGGCCGGCTGGACATCGTGCGCCTGCTACTGGAGGCCGGCGCCGACCCCAACGTCGCCGAAACGAAGAGTGGAGAGACGCCGCTGATGAAGGCGGTGAGTGAGGGCGAGGAGGCGGTGGTGCGGATGCTGCTCTCACACGGCGCCGACGCCAACGCCGCGGACTCGCACGGACAGAGCACCTCCATGTACCACGCGGCTCGCTTTGGCCAGCTAGACATCGTGCGCCTGCTACTGGAGGCTGGCGCCGACCCCAACGTCGCCATGACGAAGAGCGGAGAGCCGCCGCTGATGATGGCGGTGTTGACCCGCGAGGTGGCGATGGTGCAGATGCTGCTCTCACACGGCGCCGACGCCAACGCCGCGGACTCGCACGGAAGGAACTTCCCTGTACCACGCGGCTCGCTCTGGCTGGCTGGACATCATGCGCCTGCTACTGGAGGCCGGTGCAGATCCAAACGCCGCGGACTCGTACGGACAGACCTCCCTGTACCACGCGGCTTGCTTTGGCAGGCTGGACATCATGCGCATGCTACTGGAGGCCGGCGCAGACCCTAACGTCGCCGCGACGGAAGAAAAGGGGAGTTTCACCGCGTTACACTACTCCTGTGATCGACTTCGAACCGAGGTAAAACTACGGGCGTACGTTGCGAATGATTGAGACCTAATTTTAGCAATGTCCTAATGTATTTTCTTATAGATGGTAAAGGTAATCAGTAATAGTAATCGGTTAACAGTTAATAATAGATATGTTAAATAGTTTCACCGCATTACACTACTCCTGCAATCTACTCGAAACCGAGGAAAAATGTTCCAATGAATTTTTGTCTAGATAATAAAAGTAATCAGTAATAGTAATCGGTTAATAGTTAATAATTTAATAATAGTAATAGTTAGTAATCGGCAACAGTAATAAAGGTAGTATGCTCGGAGAAACTTGTTCTTTAAGCAACGAACCTAAAATCGGGTTGTTAATGATCCTCGTTTCTTTCGTTCACACAGATGATTACTCACCTCTTGAAACACGGAGCTGACCCGAACCTCGTCGATTGTCACGAGAGGACGCCGCTCGCTATAATAGGCAGCAAGGCGGATGTGAGAAGCCACAGAATGAGTGAGCGAGGAGCACACGCAGCACCAGCAGAACAAGCGGAGTCAGTGGTACAAGCGGCGTCAGCTCTCTTACAGACGTGCGAGTTCGCCGGCTTACTTCTACAGGTTAACACTAGAGGACAGCAAGGGCGACACCCCGCTGCACAGCTTCTGTAAGATGATGACCGCATGCAAAGACGATGTTTACGCGCGAGAGAGGGAGGGGTGCGTGCAGATAGTGAACGCGCTGCTGTTCAACCACGGTGCACACGTCGACGTGGTGAACTATTTTGGAGAGACGCCGTACGAACTCTGGCGCCGAATTTACCCGACGCGTTTCCGCGGCAACGTGGAGTCAAGCGACGAGATACATGGCAGAATGAGCGCGTGCGAGTGCCACTGCGCACGCGTTTTCGTCAGACAGCGTTGCATATACGAGAACAGGCTGCCTCCGAGTCTCATAGGATTTGTCAGGGCACACGCTAGACCAATGTAGGCGACACTAAAGAACCGAGGAAGCCCATGTAGTATCGGAGATGCAATAACCCAGAAGATATTATCAATACTTACTCTTGGACACACACGTCTGTAGGAGAGCTGACGCCGCTTGAACCACTGACTACGCTTGTTCTGCTGATGCTGCGTGTGCTCCTCGCATACGCAATCCGGGGCGTCTCACCTCCGCCTGGATGCTTATTATAGCGAGCGGCGTCCTCTTGTTACAATCGACGAGGTTCGGATCAGCTCGGTGTTTCAAGAGGTGAGTAATCATCTGTGTGAACGAAAGAAACGAGGATCGTTAGCAACCCGATTTTAGGTTCGTTCCTTAAAGAACAAGTTTCTCCGAGCATACTACTTGTATTACTGTTGCCGATTACTAACTATTACTATTATTAAATTATTAACTATTCACCGATTACTATTACTGATTACCTTTATTATCTAGACAAAAATACATTGGAACATCGCTCAAATTGTCTCCGTCGTTCACAACGTATGCACGCATTTTTCATCAGTTCCGAGTAGATTGCAGGAGTGGTGTAATGCGGTGAACCTAGTTAACATATCTATTATTAACTGTTAACCGATTACTATTACTGATTACCTTTACCATCTATAAGAAAATACATTAGGACATTGCTAAAATTAGGTCTCAATCATTCGCAACGTACGCTCGTAGTTTTACCTCGGTTTGAAGTCGATCACAGGAGTAGTGTAAAGCGGTGAAACTCCCCTTTTCTTCCGTCGCGGCGACGTTGGGGTCTGCGCCGGCCTCCAGTAGCATGCGCATGATGTCCAGCCTGCCAAAGCAAGCCGCGTGGTACAGGGAGGTCTGTCCGTACGAGTCCGCGGCGTTTGGATCTGCACCGGCCTCCAGTAGCAGGCGCATGATGTCCAGCCAGCCAGAGCGAGCCGCGTGGTACAGGGAGTTCCTTCCGTGCGAGTCCGCGGCGTTGGCGTCGGCGCCGTGTGAGAGCAGCATCTGCACCATTGCCTCCTCGCCCTCCCTCACCGCCTTCATCAGCGGCGTCACTCCGCTCTTCGTCATGGCGACGTTGGGGTCGGCGCCAGCCTCAAGTAGCAGGCGCACGATGTCCAGCTGGCCAGAGCAAGCCGCGTGGTACATGGAGGTGCTCTGTCCGTGCGAGTCCGCGGCGTTGGCGTCGACGCCGTGTGAGAGCAGCATCCGCACCGCCGCCTCCTCGCCCTTACTCACCGCCATCATCAGCGGCGTCTCTCCACTCTTCGTTTCGGCGACGTTGGGGTCGGCGCCGGCCTCCAGTAGCAGGCGCACGATGTCCAGCCGGCCAGTAAAAACCGCTCGGTACAGGGAGGTCCCTCCGTACGAGACCGCGGCGTTTGGATCCGCGCCGGCCTCCAGTAGCAGGCGCATGATGTCCAGCTTGCCATAGCAAGCCGCGTGGTACAGGGTGGTTCTGTCTGTACGAGTCCGCGGCGTTGGCGTCGGCGCCGTGTGAGAGCAGCATCCGCACCGCCGCCTCCTCGCGGGTCAACACCGCCATCATCAGCGGCGTCTCTCCGCTCTTCGTCTTGGCGGCGTTGGCGTCGGCGCCGGCCTCCAGTAGCAGGCGCATGATGTCCAGCTGGCCAGAGCAAGCCGGCAACAGGACCCGCGCGTTCCTGCCGGCCACGGGGACAGAGGGAGGGGTGCGTGCAGATAGTGCACGCGCTGCTGTTCAACCACGGTGCACACGTCGACGTGGTGAACTATTTTGGAGAGACGCCGTACGAACTCTGGCGCCGGATTTACCCGACGCGTTTCCGCGGCAACGTGGAGTCGAGCGACGAGATACATGGCAGAATGAGCGCGCAGTATCATTCGCTGAAGTGCCACTGCGCACGCTTTATCGTCAGACACAGCGTTGCATACGAGAACAGGCTGCCTCCGAGTCTCATAGAATGTGACGATGTCGCGTGTGTTAACCTGTAGAAATACGCCGGCGGACTCGCACGTCTGTAGGAGAGCTGACGCCGCTTGTACCACCGACTCCGCTTGTTCTGCTGGTGCTGCGTGTGCTCCTCGCTCACTCATTCTGTGGCTTCTCACCTCCGCCTTGCTGCCTATTATAGCGAGCGGCGTCCTCTTGTTACAATCGACGAGGTTCGGGTTAGCTCGGTGTTTCAAGAGGTGAGTAATCATCTGTGTGAACGAAAGAAACGAGGATCGTTAACAACCCGATTTTAGGTTCGTTGCTTAAAGAACAAGTTTCTCCGAGCATACTACCTTTATTACTGTTGCCGATTACTAACTATTACTATTATTAAATTATTAACTATTAACCGATTACTATTACTGATTACCNACTGTTGCCGATTACTAACTATTACTATTATTAAATTATTAACTATTAACCGATTACTATTACTGATTACATTTATTATCTAGACAAAAATACATTGGAACATCGCTAAAATTGTCTCTGTCGTTCACAACGTACGCCCACATTTTTCCTCGGTCCCGAGTAGATTGCCGGAGTAGTGTAATGCGGTGAAACTATTTAACATATCTATTATTAACTGTTAACCGATTACTATTACTGATTACTTTTAGCATCTATAAGAAAATACACTAGGACATTGCTAAAATTCGGTCTCAATCATTCGCAACGTACGCCCGTAGTTTTACCTCGGTTTGAAGTCGATCACAGGAGTAGTGTAACGCGGCGAAACTCCCCCTTCCTTCCGTATCGGCAACGCTGGGGTCGGCGCCGGCCTCCAGTAGCATGCGCATGATGTCCAGCCTGCCAGAGCGAGCCGCGACGAGCAGGGAGGTCTGTCCGTACGAGTCCGCGGCGTTGGCGTCGGCGCCGGCCTCCAGTATCATGCGCATGATGTCCAGCCTGCCAGAGCGAGCCGCGACGAGCAGGGAGGTCTGTCCGTACGAGTCCACGGCGTTGGCGTCGGCGCCGTGTGAAAGCAGCATCCGCACCATCGCCTCCTTGCCCTCCTCCACCGCCGTCATCAGCGGCGTCACTCCGTTCTGCGTCTCGGCCACGTTGGGGTGTGCGCCGGCCCCTAGTAGCATGTGCATGATGTCCAGCTGGCCAAAGCTAGCCGCGATGAGCAGGGAGGTCAATCCGTGCGAGTCCGCGACGTTGGGGTCTGCGCCGTGGGAGAGCAGCATCTGCACCATCGCCTTCTCGCCCTTCCTCACGGCCATCATCAGCGGCGTCACTCCGCTCTTCATCTCGGCGACGTTGGGGTCGGCGCGGGCCTCTAGTAGCAGGCGCACGATGTCCAGCCGGCCAGAGCAAGCCGCAATATGAAGGGAGGTATGTCCGTGCGAGTCCGCGGCGTTGGCGTCGGCGCCGTGCGAGAGCAGCATCTGCACCGCTGCCTCCTTGCCCTTCGCCACCGCCATCATCAGCGGCGTCTTCCCGCTCATCGTATCGGCGACGTTGGGCTTGGCTGCGGCCTCCAGTAGCAGGCACATGATGTCCAGCTGGCCAAAGAAAGCCGCGATGTGCAAGGAGGTCAATCCGTGCGATTCTGCGGCGTTGGCATCGGCGCCGTGTGAGAGCAGCATCCGCGCCATCGCCTCCTTGCCGTACCTTGTCGCCATCATCAGCGGCGTCACTCCGCTCTTCGTCTTGGCGACGTTGGGCTCTGCGCGGCCCTCTAGTAGCTGGCGCACGATGTCCCGCCGGCCAGAGCAAGCCGCGGCGAGCAGGGAGGTCAATCCGTGCGAGTCCGCGACATTGGCGTCTGCGCCGTGGGAGAGCATCATCCGCACCTTCGCCGCCTCGCCCTCCCGCAGCGCCATCATCAGCGGCATCCCGGTCTGCGTCTCGGCGACGTTTGGATCCGCACCGGCCTCCAGTAGCAGGCGCACGATGTCCAGCTGATCAGACCAAACCGCTTGGTACAGGGAAGTCTCTCCGTACGAGTTCACGACCTTGGCTTCGGCGCCGTGTGAGAGCAGCATCTGCACCATCGCCTCCTCGCCCTTCCACACCGCCCTCATCAGCGGCGTCTCCCCGATGCTGTCTCTCGCGTCGATATCAATCGAGTCGCGCGCGAGAAGCAGCTCCAGGACCCGCGCGTTCCCGCCGGCCACGGCTGCGTGCAGCATCGTTCTGCCGTCACGGTAACGCGTGCGAACGTTGGCTCCATTGTCTAGCAGCACGACTACAACATCCGTGCTGGCTGTTTCGCAGGCGAGCATGAGAGGCGTTCGCCCGCGCTCATCCTCCGCTTGCAGCGGCGCGTCATGCAGCAGCAGCTGTTTCACAATCTCCATCTTCTCTTCCGTCCTGCCCCGCAAAAGTGCGCATGCGATGTGGAGAGGCGTCTCCATGCGAAAGTTCACGCACGATGTTTTCGCTCCACCTCGCAGAAGTTCTAACACTTTCTCAACGTCCCCACGTGAACAGGCAGCATGCAGGTCTGACATTCTTCTCCCAACTGTAGGCACGCACTGCGCGTCTTTCTGTTGCGCGAGGGTCCAGTGCAGTTCACCTACCTAAAATGCACAGTGATGTTCATGAAGGCATGTAGAGTTGATTGCGATGTTAATATAGTGCATGACAAATCGAAATCAGCTGTTCTCCACGTATTCACATTTTCTGTAATGCAGTGTACAACAGATTGCTGAAAAAGGTTATTTTCCTAATAGCACAAAAGCTGAAGTCCAAGCTAGGCCAGGAAGCAAATCGGAAAGGGGACAAATAAAGTGATTAAACCTGGAGGATTGCCAAAGAATGGACACATCCTCTTAAATATGCCTGGGGACCACCGCTTCCCAATGCTCCAACCGCTTTGCCAAGTGCAACGCGCAACTCGGTAGGTAAACCTGCGCTGAAGCGTAAAGGTGGTAAGACAACAACTGCCGCAGAGCGACAGCGCTCACCTGATGGCAGATGTTCTGATGCTAAACTCACTGGCAAACGAATTAAGAGCACCCTCACATCGCCGCGTTCGCTCTCTCTCTCTCTCTCTCTCTCTCTCTCCCTCCCTACCTCCCTCTCTCCCTTCC